CCTGGCAGACTGTGCACCTTCTCAAAGGCAACTCCAGCATTGTTTGACCCTTTGTTTTCTGCATAAGGGAATTTTCTTTCATCAAACACTACATCTCTTATGATGATGACCTTCCTACTTGGTAGCAAAACCTTGTAGCCTTTGTACTGATTACTATATCCCAGAAAAACTCCTGCACATGACCTATAGTCCATCTTATGTTTGTTGTAAGGCCTAAGGTGAGGGTAACACAAGCACCCAAACACCTTAAGCTTCTTGTAGTCTGGCTTTACACCATAGAGAACCTCGAGAGGTATTTTGAAATTCAAAGGTCTGCTGAGAATCCTGTTGAGTAAGTATGCTGCTGTGATGAAAGCATCTCCAAATAACATAAGGGTAAATGAGAATTAGCAAGGAGAGATAAGACCATGTTCACAATGTCTCTATGCTTCCTCTCAGCCAAGCCATTCTGTTGAGGTGTGTAAGCACAAGAAATCCTGTGTATAATTCCACTTTCTTGAAAAATTTTGGACAAAGCTTGATATTCACCTCCTCCATCACTCTGAAAAGCTTTGATTCTTCTCCCAAACTGATTTTCAACTAATGCCTTGAAGCTTAAAAAGGCACTGTGGACATCTGAATTTGCTTTCAATAAATAAATCCAGATAAACCTTGAATAGTCATCTATAAAGATAACATACTAAGCATAACCATTTAAAGATTTCACATGACATGGACCCCACACATCACTATGTATCAATTCAAGTGGATATAAACATTCATGCTGAGAATGATCAAAGGGTAAAAAGTGGCTTTTAGCCATAATGCAAGATCCACAAATATTGTCTTCATCACCTGCTTTATAGTTTAGGTTACATAACCTCAAAGCTCTCTTAATATTATCATAATTGGCATGTCCTAGCCTTTGGTGCCATAGATCTAAACTATTACATTTACTTAGTTCAGAAAAATAAGAAAAAGGTTGAGCCTTCATAAGTTGTGGATTTTCTTCTTTTTGTGCTTCATGCTGTCCATTCTTTAAGCACTGCAAATTTGAATTGATAAAGCCCTTCCTTAAGAACTCCCTTGAGTAGGACCTCTTGAGTTTGTTGATCCTTAACAAAACAGACATTAGGATGAAACTCAAAGGATACTTTATTATCTCTTGCAAATTGAGACACACTAAAGAGATTTCTGCTTATCATAGGGACATGCAAAAGATCTTTCAAGATAAAAGTATTTGAGTGACCAGGATGTTGAATGAGGGAGTTACCAAAATGACTGATAGTTGCACCTTCACCATTTCCCATCAGAAGCTTGCTTCCTCCACTGTATTCAGCTGAAATGTTGAGATTTTCAAGTTCATTTGTAACATGATTCGAAGCTCCTGAATTTGGGTACCAATTAGTCTCAGATCCTACATCAAAGTAGGAGTTCACACCAGGCATTTGCACCATGTTTAGGCTTGGGTTCCTTCTTGGTGTTTGTTGTCCCTGACCAGTGGTTTGTTGGTTTGATTGGATGTCATATCTATACCAACATTTGTCTACAGTGTGGTTTAGACCATGACAAATTTGGCATTGAGGCCTATTCCTTTGGTTTCTACCTCTACCTCTGCCCCTAAAGGAGCCTCTTTCTCCTCTTCCACCTTGAGAAGCACTCCTGTTGCTCTTAAACTGATTAAAGCTTTGGTTGAAGTTCCTTTGGGAGTTCTGAGTGACCACATTAGCATATGGTTGAGATCCTTCAGAGTTGACAACAGAGCCTTGATTCATTTCAAGCCTTGACTCATAAGTAAGCAATAAAGCATGAAATTCAGCAAGAGTGAGAGGAGCGAATCTTGAGGTGACATTAACTACCACTGAGTCATATTCAGCACCCAGACCAGTAAGAATATGGAGTATCTGGTTTTGTTCTGAGACTTTCTCTCCTACTATAGCCAGAACATCACAGTGGTTCTTGACCCTATTAAGGAACTCTCTCATGGTTAAATCTGCTTTCTTCAAGGTTCGAAGCTTCAACTTGTACTGCATTATTCGTGCAGATGATTGACTGGCAAAATTACCTTCAATTGCTTCCTATATTTCTTGTGAAGTATTCAATCCAACCATCATAACCAGAATTCATTCACTTAACGAGGACATCATCCAAGAAGCCAAGAGCTGATCTTGCCTAAGCAAATAAAGATAATCTAGATTAATTTGAGACTCACCATTTTCTGGATCTGAGATGAGCTTCTCTGTCCTTTTTGTTTCACCATTGATGTAGCCCTCCACTCCATATCCTCGTATTGCTGTTATCACTTGTTGCTTCCAAATTAGATAGTTGGTTTCATCCAACTTAGTTGATATCAACTGACTATTGGGTTGAACAAGGGATCCCATAGCCGCTGTGCTTAAGTTTGGAGCAGCCATGGAGGTAGAAGAGATGGCAGAGTGACTCATCGTGAAATTACCAGAAGAAAAGAAATAAAGGAAACAAAATGATAATCAGAAGCAGATCTAACCTGCTCTAATACCATATTGAGAATACATCATGAACATTGCAGATTTAAGCAAAGAAAATAATGAATAAGTTTTAGAGCGGCGCATTCGATTCACGTACACAATTTTCTTGATAGGTTTTTACATGAGCTAAGAGGAAATATATACACACATATCAAGAGACGATCAGGGGGACAAGTGTCCAAAATTTGAAAACAATATTACGGTTCCTATGATTCCAAACTGTGAGTTTGGGTTGCTTTTGCAGCTTTAAGCTTGGCAGCTTTATCTCGTCTGCATGTCCATGCTGGCGCGTCGGTTTCCTTGAGCTGGACATTGCATTTCATTGACTGAGTCTTCTTTTCCATTTCTTCAAGATTGCTAACAGTCCCGCCACGTGTATGCGACGTGGCTTTCCGGGCCGGAAAGGTGAAAAAAGTCCTATTTTTTATCATTTTTTAAAAGCTGCGGGACTATTAATATTTTCTAGATTCCGTTGGGACAAAAAATGTCACCATTATACCTGTGGGACTAGTTTTGAAATTTTTCCCCTTAAATGAGATCTATTTTTCTCTTTATAAACGACGTGGGACAACTCACAAGTGATATTCTGATAGTAATTGAATTGGTTTATTGATTTGCAATGAAACTATTCTCACACGTTAAAATAAGATAGACTACACTTTTGAAAAATTTCATTGTAGTTTGGGTTTGGTATTCTTGATTTATTTTAGTGTATTTTACTTTTGTAATGAACTAATTATATTTACTGTTTGTTTGTCTTTATAGTTTTATATTGAATTATCTCAAATTTTAACATTATAAGTTGTGAAGTTTACGTGATACGTGGGTGTCTAAGTACATGAGTACAATCTTATTGTCGATTAATAGTAGATAGCAGCACTTTTCAACCTCATATCAGCATACTTTTATAGTGCTTAATTTTTCATTTTATTTTATTTTATTTTATTATTTATGTGAGAGAAAGAGACAAAAAGGGCCCTGAAATTCATTTGCTTTGCAATTCCAATCTGTACCCCACTAATTAAATTATTGTCCAGATTCTTGAAAAGTTTGTCCCCAAATTAAGCCATTGTTTTACATAGAAATGTTGCCCTACCCACGGTAGGCACATGTTAATATGCCCATCGTGTAGGTGACATGTACTCATTGGTGATGTTAATATGTTTAAAAAATACATCACCAATGAGTGCATGCCACTTACGCGGTGGACATATTAACATGTGCCCACCGTGGATAGGTGAGCATTTCTCTTGTTTTACATTGATGGTTTTTTAGTGGAAAAAAATTAAATAATAATAGTAATAAAAATAGGGGAAAATTTCAAAATTAGTCCCACAGGTATAGGGGGGTGACATTTTTGGACCTAACGGAATCCAGAAAATATTAATAGTCTCGCAGCTTTTAAAAAATGATCAAAAGTAGGACTTTTTTCAATTTTTCGGCCCGGAATGCCACGTGGCCACATTCATCTGACGTGGCTGAGTACAATGGCAAGGAAAAAAAATCAAAACTAGTCCCACAGGTTTTGGGATCTGACATTTTTGGTCCCAAAAGAATCCATAAAATCTTAAATAGTCCCGCCACGTGTGTGCCACGTGGCATTCGGGGCCGAAAAATTGAAAAAAGTCCTACTTTTGATTATTTTTCAAAAGTTGCGGGACTATTAATATTTTTTGAATTTCGTTAGGACAAAAAATGTCACCCCCTATACCTGTGGGATTAGTTTTAAAATTTTCCCTAAAAATAAAGACAAGCACATGTAAGTATCAATAAACAACATGGCTTATCAATTCACACAATTTTTCTTGATAAGTTTACATGTAAATATATATGTAATTAGTAGTCTTATTTAATAACAACTATGTACATAAACGAGTCGATTCAAGACGAGACTTCGAGCTCTAACGAACTGAACACGAATCTAAACAACAAAAAATTATACCAAATTACATAAATAATCATATTTTTTTAACGGAGTTAACGGGCAACTCGTTTCATATGACAACTCTAGTAATAAGGAAAAGAATAAAAATTATATAAGAATGAACACATTTTTATATATTTATATGTTTTACAATTTCTACCTATTTCTAAATTTATTAACATTTATTTCTATTAGTACTATGCTTTTTTAGCATAAAACTATTGATTCATGATAATTGTTTTTGTTCCATATTGCCAAAA